CAAGCCTTGAGAAGATAAAGCTACATATCAGAAAAAAAAAAGACTGATACTCTTATGGAAGACATTAAAATACTTAACAACATGTTTATAATGTATGGTATCCAATCACAATTATCCAGTATAACAGCAAAAATGTGACCGATAACTGTAACTTGAAAATAGTTCCTGGGTTTATTATATTTGCAGCCATAATAAAGTAACAAGGAATGGACTTACCTTCCCAATATAAACAACTAGAAAACTGGACAAAATACGTGAAACAATTGTTTGAAGACATTTAACAGCTGGCAGATCGGGGCTGTGATCACTGAGGAAAGGGAAACAAATTAGGTGATCTTTATGATAAGATTTCTTCCTAAAGGCAGTTCCCCAACTGGGAGCACATGGAAGGGTACCTCACCAGATTCTAGTGGACTCACTGAGTTGAAACAGAAATCAGAGTTTAGGGAAGCTGAGACAGCTGCAAGTTACAGGACAGAGTTCTAGAGAGGTGGGACCAGTGCATTAAAATATCTGAAGAAATCTGCATGTGAGTATCCTTAAGGTGTTGGTTGTATGGTGGCAGGGCCAGAGGAAGAACCCAACTCCATGAGGCCAAAAAAAAAAAAAAAAAAGCAGATAGCTGAAGAATCCCCAGAGCTCCCCAAAATGGAGAGATATTTGAGTTTTGACCACGCTAGGTGGAAGGTCCTCAGTGATCATTCAGGCATTCAGTAGAGACCTGAGTTGGGGGGTCACACCTTGACCGAAGTTCTGACTTATCCTTGGAAAGAAATTCTAGGCTCACTCTTAACAATGCTAAACAGGTCCTGAAGGAACAGATTGGTGTACCATTCACTCCTTGCCACATTTGCAACAAGTAAAGGAAGATAATAAAATCCAGACAATCAACAATGTAACATTCACAATACTGGGCATTCACTCAAAATTTACTAGACCTTCTAAAAGGCAGGAAAATATGACACATAACCAAGAGAAAAACCAGTCAATAGAAACAGAATGAGAAATGAGAGGTGATGGAATCAGAAGACAAGGACATGAAAACAGACATTATAACTATATTCAGATATTTATAGGAAAAATGAATATAATGAAGAGAGAAATCGATGACATAAAAAAGAGCCAAATGAATGCCTGGAGGAAAGAAAAACAAATAGCTGAAATTAAAATTTTACTGGATGGGATTAACAGCAGGTAACACATTGCAGAGAAAAGATCAAAGACCTTAAAAGCATAGCCATAGAAGCTAACCAAATGAATCCCACAGAGGAAAAAATATGCAGAGCTTTAATTACCAGTGCAACAATATCAAGCAGCCTAACACACATACAGTGGGAGTCCGAGAAGAATAGAGAAGTGGAATAAAAATTTTTTGAAACTATAATGGCTGAAAAACTTCCAAATTTGATAAAAACTTAAACTGTGCAGAGCTGCAGAATTCACTAAACTCTAGACAGGATAAACACACACACACACACACACACACACACATGACACAAAAGCACATCACTGGAAAATTGTGGAAAACTTTTGATAAAGATAAAAGCTTAAAGGCACTCAGAGAAAAGACATTATTTACAATGTAATAAAGATTAAAATGATCACAGACTTCTTATCAGATATTATGTAAGTCAAGAGACAATGGAAAGACATCTTTAAAGCAATGAAAGAAAAAGATGTCCTTCTACAACAAACACAAAAACTTTTGAAGAAAAATAAAAGTTTCAGCAAAGGATAGTATCAAGAAAGTAAAAATGCATTCTACAGAATGAGAGAAAATATTTGCAAATCATGTATCTAATAAGGGTGTAGTAATCAGAATATATGCAGGACACTTATAATTAAATAATAAAAAGACAAACAACCCAATTTTAAAATGTACAAAGGATTTGAATAGACATTGCCACAAAGAAGGTATAAAAATGGCCACTAAGGATGTGAAAAGATGCTCAACGTCATTAGTCATTAGGAGAATGCAAATTAAAACCAGAATGAGATACCACTTCACATCCACTAGGATGGCTATAAGCAAAAGAAGAAGAAATAAGAAGCAGTGGTGAGGATGTGGAGAAATTTCTGGTGGGAATGTAAATGGAATAGCCATTTTTTAAAACATTTTGAGAGTTCTGCAAAAAGTTAAACATGGAATTACCAAATGATCCAGAAGTTTCACTCCTAGCTTACTCTTAAAAAAGTAACGTAGCTCATTATGATCTCACTTTTTATTCTGTAACTTCACTGGTTCTTAAGATCCATGATTTCATGCCTTGGAGAACATCCAGACCATGTGTCTTGGTTTTCTCCATACAAGCCTGTTTGAAATAAACCTGTGACTCTAGAAGATTCATTCCCAGAAAGCACTGGGATGTGAAGTTTTCTCTGTTA